CGGGGATCGAACCCCGAACCATGTGCATGGTCGACGAGCGTCCTAACCGCTATACCACCGACGCACTCAATAATCCTCTACATCCCATATTTTCAATGTGCAAATCCCCGACGCATAAACTTGCTAAATGGTTAGTAGAATTATTGCATCCAGTCAAAACACAATTCTGTAAGTATGTGCTGAAAGATACATTTGAATTAGTTAATTTCATTGACGATATTAATATTATCAATAAGGATATGTACTCCTTTGATGTAAACTCGTTATTCATTAATGTTCCTTTGCTCAAAACAGTTGACATTTTGTGTGATCACATTTCCACAAACAATTTTTTCATCCCGTTCCCTATATCTTATTTAAGGGATTTATTATTTCCATGTTACTAACAATGTCAGGTTTACATTTGAAGGCGATTTCTTCTTCCAAGTTGGTGTTGTTGCTACGGGAAGTCCGTTAGGACCCCTTTTAGCAGATATCTATATGTCGTAAATTGAGAATTTATCGGAGGATTTAATCGAAAATGTGCCACTTTATATAAGGTATGTAGATGATATTGTAATCATCAGTGATAAGTCTTGTTCTGCCACCTCAATTTTAAGTCGAATGAATGAAGTTCAGAATAGCATATCACGTACATCTGTTAAAGAGGAAGATAATTGTTTATCGTTCCTAGACATATTGCTTAGTCGACGGCTTGATGGGTCAATAAAAAGATCTATTTATAGAAAACCTACCTGGACAAGACAGTATCTTAATTAACCCAGTTTCTGCCCTGTTCGGTATAAAAGAGCCTTAGTCAGCTAGGTGCCTCTTCAGTAGAATCCAACGAATATGCACTGAAGACACACTTGATGAAGAAGAAAGCAAGTTGACACAAACTCTGGTTGATAACAATTATCCAGACAAGTTCATCACGAGATAAGAAGTATTCAGAACACCAAGACCCACTCTACAACTCGCCCCTAAGAAAGACATGTACATCAAGCTACCCTATATGGGGCACCATAGCAGCTTGATAACTAGACAAAGACTGAACGCTGCTGCTGTTAAAAAGACTTTTTATGCAGCTAATATCATAATAATTGAGAATGTGAAGCCAATATATCTATCTAAGCTCTTTAAACATGCGAAAAATGATGTCACATTCCACTGTATTTACCAATTGGAATGTAAGTATGGACACACATACATAGGAGGGAGGACTCATCGATCTCTGCAAATAAGGGCTGACTTCACACCATATTACTAATTGGCTCGAGAAATAAATAGAATCTTCAGAACCCATTAATTGATGGTGAGAACAGGAGACCTACCTCCTTTATTGCGAAACATATTATAGAGACAGGACATACAATTGAGGTTAACACAACTTTCAAGCCTATCTATAAAATGTGTTTCCGGGAGGGCGTATCTTAAAATTTGTGGAAGCTCTAGCTGGCAATCAGAAGGTTTAAACCACCTTTATGCGTTCAAAAAGAAAAAAGATTACATAAACTGAAGTGAATTCCTTTGAAGGTCAGTTGTCCGTAGACAGGAAAATGTAGACAGTCATCACATACTTGTAATGACTAATGTCAAATTGTCACAAATGTGCATATTTATTTATCTGTCTGTCTGTCTCTGTGTGTTACCATGTTATCTGTTACATGGAAACCACGTCAAAACATGATAATATTTTTACAGAGGTCACAGGATAGGACTGAATACTTCTGTATTTTGTCTCATCTGTTTTGCTTCATTAAGGTCGGCCATATATGTGATAAGTTTACTCTCACTCTCTCTCGTATTTACTGTATTTGATGTGGTTAAAATGTGCAGGGCTTCAGGGGTGAGCTTATGTGAATAAAATCTTTTTCCCCGAATTTCGACATTGTCGTAAGCGAACTTACACCCGCTGTCTATAGCATGCATTTCTATAGCTGATGTTTTTTCGAGACTCTTCTTCTTCTGCTTCTACTTCATTTCCAGAAGGACATTTCATGCACAGTCTGAGTTCATTCACTATGATGACTTCACCTGTCTACTGCCTTCCACTCTATAGCAAGCTTCATATTCTGCACACTTTATCCGATAGACACAGTTGTTTTGTGTCATTATGGGGAAACATTTCTTTGACATTCACCAAAGCTTCCTCTAAAGAATTAGAGGTCTCGAAATAGACTGTAACACTATATGAAGCAAGTACCCTTTGAAGTTGTTCAGCAATGTCCTGTCGATATGGAATGGCTAACGCTGATTCCCCAGATTATTATTTTTTGACAATATTATGTAGAGGCTTTTCCAGAAAATCATTCCCAATCAAGATTTGTTTTATACTAGAGATCTCATTCTTCATATCATCATTATCTGTTAAAATGTTTCTAGCTCTGTTAACACGATTTAAAACAACTGAAACTTTCATTCATACTGGATGATCCGATTGGAAATTCAAATATTTGTTTGAATGTATCAGCCTCCTGTATATCGTGAACTTTAGTTTTCCGTTAGTTTTATTTTATTTTTAACACGACAATCCAAACAGTTTCGAGTTGACTCACCCGATTCAACTTCATTAGCGTAAACTACATACATTTTGAGACTGAGTTAATCTGTTGTAGTAAGATTTCATTTTCAGTTTTCTTAATAATGATAAATGTGTCATCTACATATCTGTAACATTTTCTAGGATGACACAAATAAATAAAACGTGTCAGTGCTTTTCTTTCCAAACCTTTCATATAAAGATTTGCTACAATTGGAGATGCTGTTGGGTCCCATTGCAGCTCCTTTAGTCTGATAGTACACTGTTTAAGGTACAACATGCAGATTCACATAGGGTAAGGCTCACCTCTGAAGCCTTGAATATTTTAACTACATCAAATGCAGTAAATACGAAAGCGAGAGAGTGATAGTAGACGCATCACATATACGGCACAGCTTAATGAAGCAAAACAGATGAGACAAAATACAAGAGTCTGTTGTCCTATGTTGTGACCTCTGTAAAAATATTATCGCGTTTTCACGTGGTTTCCATGTAACAGACAACATGGTAACACACAGACAGACAGATAAATAAGTATGCACATTTGTGACAATTTGACATTAGTCATTACAAGTATGTGATGACTGTCTACATTTTCCTGTCTACTGACAATTGACCTTCAAAGGAATTCACTTCAGTTTATGTAATCTTTTTTCTGACTATATATTTTGATGACATTTGTAAAAAATTATATTTGTAAAATCTCAGCGAGATTGAAATGAGTAATTCCAACGTTTCGTTCGGCAATCTGGTCCGAACTTCTTCAGGGAAATTAATCGAAATTAACATAACAGAGGTTTATATATAAAAGGAGCATCACTTGTTTTTAAAAACTTTGTCCAGTCATGAGTCATTCAACAAGTATAATAAACAAAATTTTTATGAGCTGTGATCAAAATTTAACCTCGGACTTACAAATATTGGTCTACCTTTGTTAAACACTTTAGACAGAGTGTGTATGTGTATGTCTACTTCACACTCGGCGCCCAAATATTTTAGAACTATTCTGTCAAATCTTGACGACAGTTCATTTGAATATATTTTGATGGTTAATAAAAATCTGGATAATTCTGCTGAAGAAGCAGGTGTGACACCTACGCAGCGAACGGTTTAGAAAAATCTTGTTTTGAGGTTTTCTTAAACACTCTGTGATTATTTTATTTTTAATAATTTATGATGATTCAATCTGATTCGAAGCAGAGATTATTCCAGGAAATTCGTAACATCTACGGTTTGCTGGTTAAACAGGCAACCAGCTTGACCTCGTTACCAACTTGAAGGCTGGCTGGCTGGATTCAACATAGAACTTGGCACCGAAGTGCAGCAGTTCGAGTTGCCAAGTTCCAAATAGCACACAAAGGTAGACAAGAAAATGAGTGAAGAGAATCAATAGAGTTTTGACAAGTATAAGAGTGAAACAGAATGAGTAATGGTAGAAAGGAATATGAAAGATTACAGAGACTGAATACATCTGCGCTAGCCATTGACAACGATTTTGAGCCATGTCACCTATTGTCTCCAGCCATTGATTCTTAGAGTCCCGAGGGCAGGCCCCAACCCGGAAGTCTGCATCTCCCTACCTGACTCAGTTTAACTGTCAAGGATTTCATGGATTGATGCCATGTTTTTGTTTGGCCACCACTTACTCTTTTCCAACCTGCACCTACATCAGCTAGTAATGCCCGTCGGGGGAGGCGATGGCTAGGCATGCGCAGCACCACGCTCTGCTAACGGATTTTACCCGACCGAAAGCTGCTACCTTGACGTGGTGGTCGGGCTTGCATATCGCAATGACCCAACGAGCTACACTGGCTGGAACTTAAGTTCCTGTAGGTCCTACCATACCAGAAAGGTTGTTTGGATAGCGGTTAGACAAAAAGCAGCTACCCAATCCAATGCCATGACTCAAACAAAATCACAAAATATCATTCCGGATCGGTCGGGGCCCGGATTAACAACGACCGCGCTTCCTGCTGCCGTGTCACAGGGCAGAAGTGATAAATATGCTACTGAGACACACCAAATAAAAAAGAACAAACAAAAACAGGCCGTGTGTGACCGGCCTCAAGCAGTTGTCCCCTGGGCTCTGCAGTCACGCAACCAACTTCCACGGTGTGGGCAGCCGGGAAGTAACAATCGCCCTCACAATCCGAAGTGAACGCGAAACCTCTCTAATCCTCACTCATCTTTGTATCCATCTTCATCTCTATTATCTTGCCTTCCTTCTACCAACTTGAAGGTCTCCCCCATTCGATCTCTGGTAAATTTGTGGGTATTATAACTAGCGTTGGTTCATGACGTTGATCAATTACTGTTACATGAAGTAGAATTCAAGCGTTAATAGCGCTATAATCGGTGGTGCAGAGTCGACAAGTCAAAAACAAAAAAATACACTACAACCCCCTATACTTCATATATATCCATCAGGTGAGATATTTAAAATTATAGAAATGAATCAAGTCATTTTCAAGCAAATTACCCATCTATTGGCTATAGACGATGACAAAGCTTCTTCTAACTTTTCAATATCAGAAAATTGAGTCGCTCCATCAGCATCCGCAAACAACAGTATACGACCACGTGCTGATAGCATTCCCTAAAAAATTGAAAAAAACACCAATATAAGGAGACATCAATAACATTTTTAATAATAATAATAATAACGTTAACAGACTTCAGACAAAATATCATTTTCAAGTATTGGTTTGGTAGGGATTTTGTTTAATTGCATGGAGGGTTTCATCATGAGCTGACATCAGTTAGAGAACCACTGGAAAACCTGGGAGTACTGGACAGCTGTTTCGTCCTAGTTTGGGACCCTTCAGAAGTAGGCGCCCACCGGGATTCGAACCCAAGACCTTCTGGTTACAAGGCGAGCTCGTAGACCATTGAGCCACTGGGACCCGATCCAATGGTCCTTGAATTCTAACTTCTGCCAATTCACGACACAGCGCAACCACTTCGCAATGTCCCAGTGGCTCAATGGTCTACGAGCTCGCCTTGTAACCAGAAGGTCCTGGGTTCGAATCCCGGTGGGCGCGTACTGATGAAGAGTCCCAAACTAGGACGAAACAGCTGTCCAGTACTCCCAGGTTTTCCAGTGGTTCTCTAACTGATGTCAGCTCATGATGAAACCCTCCATACAATAAAATATTATTTCATTATTATTCTTAAAAATGCAAACTTGGTACATAATGGAGACCAAATGATGCGCCACACGAAAACTCATAGTTTTTGCGAGGATTAGAATACTACCCAGGCGCCTAGACTGAAGTAGATATGGTTGTTTTGGATGTCAGATGACATGCATGAAATTTCTGAAAAGACGCCTCCCTGTGGAAACGATCAAGTCACAATATTTTTATTTTATTATAGTTTGATTCCACACAGCATGTGATATCGGTAGCCCAAATTTAGCAGGCCAACCATTCATATCAGGATCGAACCCCAGACCATGTGCATGGTTGGCGAGCGTTCTAACCGCTGTGCCACAGAAGCACTAAATCAAGTGGTGACCTTACAACACAGTATATCTAGAGAGTCGACGAAGATGAAATTCTACGAACACTGTTTGCAAACAGGATTTTTCCCACTGCAACTTCTTGAAACAAGTTCGATCGGCTAAACTTCCACCTTCACAAAAGAACCCTCATCGAATAAAAATATCCCATAGTGAATCTTCATTAAATATGTTTCCGATTTGAAGTCTCATTTGGTTACGTATGATACCTTACTCGATGAGCAAAATATTATTTTTTTTCCTTCACGTTCCCCAGTGGAACATAGGGCTTCAAGCTAGTGGCTTGAAGTTTCTGTAGCAGTGTTTATTTTACAGGATGGGGTTGCTAGCCTCATGCCCAACCTTTCCTCTTCACCAGCTTTATTTCTGGCTTAGCGAGGTAAAGGAGTGCGTCGGCCGGGGATGGAACCCCGGACCATGTGCATGGTTGGCGAGCGTCCTAACCGCTATGCCATCAACGCACAAAAAAATATAATTTGCTGGCTCAAATTCATGGACTTTATCACAGAATTACAATCTAAAACTCCCAAAGAATATGAAAATCAGCTGACGAAAGCATTGGTTAAAGAAAAGTTTGTTGAGGAATTCCCAGAAGCATATGAACGCTACGCATATAATCTGTCACAATTACAATTAAGCGAAATTGTATTAGAAGCCTTATCTCTGGGAATCAAGTTTCACGTCCCTGTAAAGTACATCAGCCGTATAGACACAGAAATACAATTCGAACACTTATACCATCACCATCCGAGAAACAGAAGATACTGACTGAGGGGTGTAGAGTAGCACTGAAGAAACTATATGAAAATGATGACACTGTCGTTTTTAGACCTGGTGTTGTTATATGAAAAAAAGCCGGAAAAATTCCAGGTGGATAAAACTAAAAAGGATGCAACGTCATTTGAAAATAAATTAAATAAATGCTTCAAAAAACTCCTCATCAAGGAACTGATCGCCAAAAATGAGTACAATGAACTCAGGTCAAAAAGGTGGATGTACGCCTCCTTTTTATGTACGACCTGCCAAAAATCCATAAGGCCAATTTGCCCTTAAGACGCACATTATCAATGATCAACTCACCATACCATTTCGAAATAAATTGGTAATTCATAGCTTTGAAAGATACCTTCAAATTTTCTACAGAGGTCGATCATGTCGATATATCAAATAAACTAATGATGTCGTATGACGTGACAGCTCAACTAACAAATGTACCAGTGATCGAAACAATCAATATTTTTTAATATGTAAAGCTACGTAAATTAGAGTAAAGCCTGAAGACCTAATTCAAAATAATATTGTCAGCTTCTATGTCTTGTTCTTTCTTTATCAGAATTTACCAAGGTAACCAAGTGTGTAAAATTATTTTGCTAACTCATAAAACTACATTTTAATCTCTAGCCGGTAAATTGATGTGTCCACTGGGAACGTAAAGGAATAAAACAAGAGAGAGAAAGCACTTCTATGAGTGTGGAAAAGAGGGCATAAGTGGTTTGCTCTACGACAAAATACACGCACACCAGATGATAAACGGCAAAACCACCATGGTTAGTCTATCAGCTAAGCAAAATCGAATCACAGGCCAAACGCCTTATTTCGACTTTTGTACCGTATCTTTATTTCTTATTCAATAACAATCTGAGAGGCTGACTCATAACTTAACCGGGCCTAGTTTATCATCACGCAATTATTATTATTATTATTGTTCCGTTGGGTTCCTAAAGGAACATAGGGCTTCAACTACACGTCTCCACTTGCTTCTGTCTTCTGCTGTACTTTTCACCTGTGTCCATGTTAATCCATACTGTTTCAATTCCTCTTCGCACGATCTCCTCCATGTCACCCTTGGACGTCCCACTAGCCGCTTCCCTTTCGGGTTCCACTCGAGCACTGGCCTGACGCGCGATGTCACCCAACAGCCTCCTCAGCGAGTGTCCAATCCACCTCCAGTTTCTACTGCATATTTGTTGGGCGATTGGTTCTTGTTTTGTTTGTTCCCATAGTTTCTTGTTGGTGATTCTTTCCGGCCATCTGATCTTCAGTATAGAGCGAAGACAGTTGTTGATAAAGGTCTGCAACCTGTTGGAAATATTCTTGGTGACCCGCCAAGTTTCTGATCCGTATAGAAGAACTGACTTGACGTTTGTATTGAAAATCCGAATTTTGTTGTTGATGCAGGCTGAGTGACGAAGATTTCCAGATTGGTTTCAGGTTGATGAATGTGTTTCTCGCCTTCCCGATTCTCGCTCGATTTGACATCCTTGTCCGTTCCTCCTGTAGTTGAGACAATGCTCCCTAGATAAGTGAATGAAGTAACCTCTTTCAAATCCCTCCCGTTGATGGTGATTGGCGCTGGATGTTGCTGCTGTTGTTGTTGCTTGGTTATTTTCATAACCTCTATCTTGTCTATGTTCACCTGGAGTCCTGTCTTTGCTGCTTCTTCGACCAGTTTGTCGGTTTTCACTTGTAAGTCTTCGATTTTGTGTGACATCAAACATAAATCATCCGCGAAATCTAGGTCTTCTAGGTTCTTCACGTCGGTCAGGACAGGATATCCCTGTCTTCTCGTTTCCCACTGTCTGACGCATAATCCAGTCCACCACAATTAGGAATATCATCACTCAATTACCGCTGTATATTGCAGGCATACACATATGACTAACTTTCTTTACAATTATCCATAATAACTAATGGTAGGGTCTTGTGTTGCTCTTAACCTACCATCATTCAATCCTCAGTATCACAAAAACGTCACTTTATATAGATGCATCACGTGATATGACGGGACAATGAGTTTAGAGTTCATCTCTCTCTCGGTTACGCTCACGTTCTTTTCATCACAAAAAACGAATGACTTCATTCAACAGTACCTATATCAAATGTTAAAAATTCTTTCCTCCCTTCGAATATGAGTTGGGAATGAAATTCTCACTGGAAATACTTATGTACACATGCTCTTTCCATTGATTGAGGATATATGTATGTGCAGTTAATCGCCATTTCGTCTCTGGGACTTTTTTGCATACTTAGATGTTACAAAATCATATCAGCTAAACTACTACATCATCAAAGCTGAGCTGATTGTCAATTTTGTCATGCTGTTAGTACTACTACTTATCTGTCTTTCTTGACTAGTTTCTGCTGTTCTTCTGCTTTGTGTTTCAGATTCTCAATGCACAACGAATTTTGTAGGTTCCACAAGATCCTCCTACGCAAAGAAACTGTCTTCACTGAATCGCATCAATCTTAATTGATTCTGGTGGGAGAGTAATGTAAGGGATCGGAGAAATTCAATCTCAGTTGATTTCGCCTCCAACGATCAATTTGTGAATCTGTACTGACTGGATCACATTGCAGAGAAGTGGATTTTCAATGGACATGATCGTGATTGATACTTTGTGGTGTGACTGTATGTTTATATTCTTTTTAGATCAATGAAAACATTATTGAAAGAAGTAAGTATTATTATTCTCCCTTCATTGGTGGTGGAGATACTAACAACAGCCTGCTAACCAAGTTAGGAGAGCCAGGCTAAAGAGTCAGCAGGTAGCGTGGCCAAAACCTAGGTCTACTAGGATTGATAGCCACACAACAATCATCAACGTAATTTCCAGTTAAAGCCAACCAGTAACTAGCCCAAAGTCGTCCCAGCTGCATAACTGACTGGTTTCTTTTGGAGAATACATCACTTGGTTCTGGCCGAAAATTAAAATCATTTGAAATGACTTTTATACGCACGAGATACAGTAGACTTAGATTTTTTTGTTTCGTATAGTTAATCCCGCTTCTTTTTGTTTTAGTTGACCAGCAAACTATTGTTTTCACCCTTACTGTGCGGTTAGCTGTTTAATTGCTTTTACTTTTACGGACACTGTGAGCTTAAGTATCATTCTTTTTTGGGGAATTTGCTTTAATGGTTTGGCATTTTAATTAATTTATGCTGTAATAAGTAGTTCAAATTCCTCTGAACGACTAGATTATCTTTTTCCTCCAATCTATGAGACAGCTGTAATCAATATATTTGTAATACCCTAACACATTTGGAATACAGTGGATGAGGCAAACTATCGTCCCCA